CATTGGCCATATAATTTAACTACCATTAATTTTGCAGGGAACAGTATGTTTTTCTTTTAAACACTGGATTCGGGAATGAAGAAGAACAGAAAAGGATTAAAGAACTTCTGCATGTTGAGACACGCACAGGACCAGATGACTCTGGTGAGTGGATTAGCTATCAGGTTGGACAGTTATATAACTTATATATGCAATGACTATTGTTTGACTCTGCCTATATTTGTATTTTATAGGTAATGCCGCATCTGTTGTCAGCTGGGCTCAAGATGATATACACAAGGGAGTCAGGTTAAAGCATTTTAAGGTACTTCTATTTCATTGTCCCTCATTCTATTGTTGTTAGACTCATCTGATATCCATGTTGCTTGGAAATTAATTCTATAAAGAAGGCCTTGTTACTAGACTTAGGCTTCTTATTCTTTTGTGGTCTTGCAGACTGTATCTTCTGTAGAATGGCATCGCAAAGGAGATTACTTCTCCACAGTTATGCCGGCTGATATCCTTTCACCTATTATGTTCATTGAATTTCTGACATGATCTTTCTGAGATTACAGAAAAGTGGCTTCATGGGTGTTTTAAGTGCTTTTACCTTGTCTTCTCATCATCCTACATTTGTTTAATTTTGATCATGATTTATCTCTCTTTGAACAAATAAGCTGCCTTTTATTATTATTATTATTATTTCAAATGGTGCATACTTCTGTTTCTTCTGAATCCTGCTTAGTGTTTTGATTTTGAGGTTGAGATAAAGTGCCCTATTTATGGAAATCAGGCCATAATATTTACTCGTTGCTGGCTTGTCTTTCTGGTATCATGTGAAAAGGGGGTGACATCCTGAAAAGGAGTATTCAGTGTTTTGCGCATATAATTATGAGTGTCTAATGATATTGGTACACTTATTTACTACCAGCAATGATTCAGAGCACTAATTTCGGTGCTCTAATGGAGCACTAATGACACAGCAAGGAGGAAAAAAAAAAAAAAACAAGACCGAAACATCACATCACAGTAGGTGGGGCCCACTGCCAGCCAGCTCATTAGAGCTGGCTTTAGAGCCCAAGAATTAGAGTTCCAAATCATTTTTCTTTTACCACATAATTACTGAGCTCTTCACATTGAGCAGGAGTAATTGGACAAAACAGTGTACGTCCCAGGTATATGTTGGTTTAGTTTTCCACTTGGGTGTTAGTACATGCCTTGATTTGGTTGTAATACCACCCTAATAATTGATGTGATGTGAGTAGCATCTGAGAGACAGGTATCTGTTGTTTAGTTTTCTATATGGTTTTTCTTAACTTGTTTGTTACGTGAATCGAGAGCAATATTGATACACCAACTTTCAAAGAGACTCACCCAAAGACTTCCGTTCAAATTGCATGGGCTTCCAGTGTCATCAACCTTCCATCCCACCCGTTCTATCTTTTTCATTTCCACAAAGAAGAATATCCGTGTATATGACTTGTTAAAGCAAAAGCTCATCAAGAAGCTCGAAACCGGGCTCCGTGAAGTTTCCTCCATTGCAATTCATCCTGGTGGTGTGTCTCTATTTTTTATTTGCTCACATATATATATAAAATTATAAATTCGGTAGATGAATTTCAGTGCTGTTATCTTTACTCTTCATATGATCACATGTTAAAATTGTTGTGTTTCTATTGATTTAAGGTTGAATATGTCTGGGTTGCCCTTTTTGTGCAGGTGATAATGTTATTGTGGGGAGCAGAGAAGGAAAATTGTGTTGGTTTGATATGGACCTCTCATCTAAACCTTATAGAGTTCTAAAGTATGTTTCTTTCTTTTTCCCCACTCCCTAACCCAAACCTGAACACTAGAATAAAAATGTTATTTGTAAAACGTTACCTTGACTTCTTTCGTGTGGGAACTATTCAGATGCCACTTTCAATTTTTATCAGCAAAGGACTCAAAATAAATATGCAAAATCTATGAATGATATTTGAGAGTATTTCACCAAAGCGGTGCACAGTTGGCTAAAAAATGGGGGGGAAACCTCTGTGCAATTACAACACATATGGTTGAGTAACAAAAGTTTATCCCGGTATTGTGAGTATGTTTAGAGCAAATAAATGATTATGACCAAGTGAACTTGTGTGCAACTTTATTGATTGGTTTAAAAGAAAAAATTACTTTTGTGCATGTGCATACTACATTTATGGGTAGATACATGCATGCTTAAATGCATATACACATCCATAAAAAGGTTATGTGCGTAAAAACAATAATGCTCTAGTTTGTGATTTAATTGCGGGCAAAGTTTGTCTGGTACCTTTTTTTTGTTGCTCTTTTTTTATTCATTTTTTTTTTTTGGTTTTTTAAATTCAGTATAATTGCTCTGATCTGGTTATTCAAATTTTCAGATGTCACCCAAAAGATGTTACCAGTGTGGCCTTTCATCGTTCCTACCCTCTGTTTGCGTCTTGCTCTGATGATTGCACAGCATATGTTTTTCACGGCATGGTTTATTCTGATCTAAATCAAAACCCTCTTATTGTTCCACTGGAAATTCTCCGAGGGCATGCAAGTGCGAATGGAAGAGGTTAGTGAATGTCTATACGTTGTTCTTCTTCTAGTTGTGGTTGATAATAATTTACTTACGTGGATTGAGAGCAGATAAACTGAAGGCTGCCAACACAGATTTTAATCATACATGTAAAAACTCTGTCCGTCTGGCCTTTATGTGTTATGTATTAGCTCTTGCAGGGTACAATCTGTACTGATCATGAAGAACTTGAATCTATGGTCTATAAAAAAAAAAAAAAAGTGTCATCATTGTTATTTTTTTTTATAATTGAGGGAAAAGAAAAGCAAAAATTAAAAAAAAATTAAAAAAAAAGTGTAGTAGGAAAAAGAATGAAACAGGGGACAAAATGCCTTGTTAAAGTGGTCTGCTTATAATTATCAACATCTACTTGACTTTCCTTACGTATGATTATATATGAAGCAATGCAACTATATTTTTCAGTATCAGTAGTAGTTAATTTAGTTGATAGCCATAAATTGGTATATTTAACTGTTTGCAGTAAGGGGAATAAATATATATTACAGCATCATTTCCTCCACTCTGTTGTCATTGGCCTTTTTCTTTTTTTGGGGACTCATAGATACCTGCTAGGCACCCACCTTCGTTCATCAGGGAACACTTGGATTTCTATAGGTAGAGCCCTCTACCGAGGGGGGAGTGTCAATCCCATGACCTCGACTTTGGAATACTGGATCCCCAACAATTACATGTGCCTGTCTTCAAAGTTTTTATTTTGTGAAGCTGTCATTTTTTATTGATATATATTATATGCATGCTGTGAAGTCTGGTTCTCGTTTTGATGTATTCCGAAGATGGTTCTCTCTGTGAGTGGGCTGGCTTGCTCCTTGTCCAACCCTGATTCCTCTCTTAAGTTGGCCTAATTGTACTTGTCAAAAAAAGTTGACCTCATGGGAGGCAGGTTGTTAAGCTTCTCGTAGAGCTTTATTGTTGACTCATTACATGATTGTATTCCATTTGATTCTCAGTTACAAAAATAGTAGTTATATATTGCCAGTTTTGTTTTTGGTTCATTGGCAATGTGGTAGGGTTGGCTGGGATTGAACTAGCCTCTCCCTACTGATAACCCAGGTCCTTGCTTTTGGCACCTTCTACTATCGATTTTACTTGCAAAAGGTACACTATTTGTGTGGAAATAATAATCTGACATGCAACATAGGATGTGACCTTGTGAATATAGATACTGAAATCTCTGAATATAAATGTCCAGAGTGTATCTTACTAATATTTGGTTTGATATTATTTTGGTGGCTTCTCTGTATGTTTCTTTCTTTTTCCCCACTCCCTAACCCAAACCTGAACACTAGAATAAAAATGTTATTTGTAAAACGTTACCTTGACTTCTTTCGTGTGGGAACTATTCAGATGCCACTTTCAATTTTTATCAGCAAAGGACTCAAAATAAATATTTAAAATCTATGAATGATATTTGAGAGTATTTCACCAAAGCGGTGCACAGTTGGCTAAAAAATGGGGGGGAAACCTCTGTGCAATTACAACACATATGGTTGAGTAACAAAAGTTTATCCCGGTATTGTGAGTATGTTTAGAGCAAATAAATGATTATGACCAAGTGAACTTGTGTGCAACTTTATTGATTGGTTTAAAAGAAAAAATTACTTTTGTGCATGTGCATACTACATTTATGGGTAGATACATGCATGCTTAAATGCATATACACATCCATAAAAAGGTTATGTGCGTAAAAACAATAATGCTCTAGTTTGTGATTTAATTGCGGGCAAAGTTTGTCTGGTACCTTTTTTTTGTTGCTCTTTTTTTATTCATTTTTTTTTTTTGGTTTTTTAAATTCAGTATAATTGCTCTGATCTGGTTATTCAAATTTTCAGATGTCACCCAAAAGATGTTACCAGTGTGGCCTTTCATCGTTCCTACCCTCTGTTTGCGTCTTGCTCTGATGATTGCACAGCATATGTTTTTCACGGCATGGTTTATTCTGATCTAAATCAAAACCCTCTTATTGTTCCACTGGAAATTCTCCGAGGGCATGCAAGTGCGAATGGAAGAGGTTAGTGAATGTCTATACGTTGTTCTTCTTCTAGTTGTGGTTGATAATAATTTACTTGCGTGGATTGAGAGCAGATAAACTGAAGGCTGCCAACACAGATTTTAATCATACATGTAAAAACTCTGTCCGTCTGGCCTTTATGTGTTATGTATTAGCTCTTGCAGGGTACAATCTGTACTGATCATGAAGAACTTGAATCTATGGTCTATAAAAAAAAAAAAAAATTCTCAAAATAGGTTGCTCCTCGTAATACAATTGGGGATGTTCCGCTGGTGTGGTACAAGGATGAGGAACATATTGGGTATGACATCACTGGAAAGAAGATTAAAAAAAAAGAGAGACAAGATAAAAAAAGGCTGTCCACCGGTTGCAAAATAACTCCATTGGCACAAAATACTGCCGGCCGGCACAAAATATTGCCGACCGGCAAAAAGTTGCTGAGTCGGGGCAGATTCGACATTTCACCTCGGGTGTTTTAAAATAGGGCTTCAAACCCT